TGATGGGTCAGGAAGTGCACAAAATCAAACAAGGCCTGGCCTTGAAATTCACTGAGCTGGTGTACACTGGTTTCTGGCACAGCCCTGAGTGTGAGTTTGTTCGCCACTGCATTGCCAAGTCACAGGAACGGGTGGAAGGAAAGGACTTTCCCTCTGCAATGAGGAGCTGGTGAGCATGAACGTGCCACGATTATGAACCAATTGATGTCACTGGCTTCATCAACATCAACTCCCTCAGGCTGAAGGAATATCATTGTCTCCAGAGCAAGGTCACCACCAAATAGACCAGCTTACATTGAGGAGCTGGGCCTCCTCACTCTGCCAATTTCCGAAGTGCAGACACTAATTGTTGTGATAATTTGTAATTGTGACTTGTTCTCCACACCCCCCCACCCCCGCTGGCAGCATCTTGGGGGCCCCAGACCCTAGCTTTGTTCCCTGTTCCCCTTATAGCCTGCAAACTATGGTCAGCAAAAAAGGGAAAGTGGGTGTGTGGGGACTACAGTGGGGAGCAGTAAAATGACAATTTTAAAAAAGGAGAAAAAAAAAAGATGACAAGCTTGGAAACAGGAGCAGTTCTGCTCTGTCCTAAGGGCCACTGTGAGTTGGAATCGACATAATGGCAACAACAGTTTTGGGGTTTTTGGTTTATAGAAGTAATAAACAGAAGAAGAGTCAAACATAAAACCCTTTTTTAACATGATTGACTTCGGGGGAAAAAAATAAATGATTGACTTCGGAAGGTGAGTGAGACTGGGAAGGGCAAAGGTGGGCCTGAGGACTGCTGATGACATCTCATTGTTTAGGTGTTTCTTTTGCTTTGTTTTTTTTTTTTGGGGGGGGGGTTTGCTTTGTTTTACTATGAGAAAAAGTTTACTGATCATATTTATATCTCATTCAGTCATTCATGCACATTACATTTTTATAACATAAGTTGGAGTGGTGGTGGTAGTGTTAGGTGCCATCAAATATGACTTAGCAACCTATGAACAAAAGATCTGAACCCTGTTCTGTCCTGTGCCATCCTCACACTTCCTGACACACAAGAGTCCATTGTAGCAGTCACAATCCACCTGGCTGAGGGTCTTTTTCTCCTTTGCCATCCCTCCACCTTTCCCAGCATCATAACCCCTCCTAGCAACAGGCCCAAAGATTGTGGGGCAAAACCTCATCATTCTTGCCTCCAAAGAGCACTCTGGCTGCACCTTCTCCAAGACGTATCTGTTTGTTCTTTTTAGCCATAGTTGGAATGTTCAGCACTCTTGTCCAGCACCACAGTTCAAAGGCATCCGTTCCTTTTCTGTTATCCCTATCCATTGTCCAGCTCTCCAATTCATAGCAGGTGATCAGAAAGACCATGGAAGTGGAGCTCTGGTGGCCTC